ATCTGAAATTATAGAGGGCGCATATTCATTTTACACACGGCGAAATGAAATGAGATTTCCCGGGAAATTTCGGACAATACTAGTATATTAATAGTCTATTGTACATTGTACAACCACATTTGACCAGCACGATCACAAATCACATAGGGACCATGGACCTATGGATGATCTAAAACAATCAACCACGTACTGACCGAGCTTCGTATTAAAAGAAAAAATATCAAGGATCAAGGTAAATCACTTATGATCAGGAAAAATCACCTAAACCAGGGACACTCAACTAAGATTAGAACAATTGAGAACAATCACAGTATCAAAACAAAATATTAAGAATCACAACCAAACAATTGCCCAGAAGAGTCAAGAAAAATTTAAAGTAATAAAAACAATCACTTAAGATTAAGAACAATCACCTGAAAAATTGTTTAGGATCGACCCAATCCCTAAGGATCAAGACAGATACCAAAGATCAAGATCATGAGGATATTTCTAAGGATCAAAAACATTATCACTTAAGATCAATAACAATCACCTAGGATCAAGATTAATCACTTAGAATTAAGAACACCAAGGGCTCAGAAGAAATTTTTGGATCGGGAAAAAATCACTTAGTGTGCTGTTAATGGGTTCAATAATGTAACTTAAAAGTCCAATATAAGATGAGATATAAATGCATTTTTATTTGAGACATAAATACTATAACTTGACAGACATCTAGCAGCCCCTCGGCTATTGGCTAAAACACATCACGTGGTACAAAAGTAGGTCGAATTTGTGTAGTCCCCAAGGAGGATTGGCTCCCAGGATCGAAACTCGATATTTTCCAACAATGAAAACGTCGAAATGTCGTTATTTTCTGAAATTAAAACCGACTATAAATTCAAAATAAACAGTTCAAAAGATTCGAACCAATATCTCGATCATTTCTTGTGAGTTTTGGAATTTTTCGTTTGGAAATAAGACCAAAATTCACGATTTAAATGTTGAAGTGAACAAAATGGCGGCTGTTTGAATTGGAATTTTGTATTACGACATACCCATATATGGGACAGAATATCGGTGGTGCACTCTGGGAGCCAATCCTCCTTGTGTAGTCCCGCCATATTTAGACAGACTTCCGGTACAAGTGCACTTGGATTTGCGCCCTCTATAATTTCAGATTTCCATGTCGTGCCTGAGATTTACTCGCGACCAAATCAAATTGCAGGATGCAATCACGTGAACAATCACGAGCACGTGCTCTCAAATTTGAAATCGTGGAAATGGCGTTAACATCGATATCAGTTCAATATCCATATTCCAAACCTATGGTTATACTATTGAAGTTACTCGATTCAAACTTGTAGCTGAGAATACTCATAAAACTACAGCGGCGAACATTGGGAGATTCAGTTCAATGGCAAATGAGGTCTGTTTATAAAATTTGTTTTCGAACGTGCCAATATGAAAGGTCATCTTTGGGAAATCCCCCCTACCGTGGCACATTTTTATCCATCATTATTTAAATCTGTCTATGGTCCACAGGATTTTGGACATCTATCATCAGGATTGTGCCCTTGAGCAATTAGAAACTCTCGCAAGCTGTCGAACTGGTCACGTTGATGTTCAAATAAATCTAGCAGGCGTTTCATTTCACGAATATCTGAAAATATAATTTGGTGTACCCATTGTTTGTTTACATTTTGTAGATAATAGAATAGGGCTAATGTTTACATAGGTATTTGAGCCACAATATGAGAAACCCAGTCTTGTCACATATCTGACTGTTTAAACTAAGGTAAAAAAGAGCCAGAAATTTAGATCAAATGCCTACACTAAAACGTTAAAATAGTGAATTATTGAAGAGTTGATCACAATTGTAAAATCCATATATTGCAATTAGCTTTAATAGAATGAAAAATGAAAGCTTATATGATAATAAATGGCATACAATAAGATCCTTTTCTCACGATCGTACTCAATTTTAAGACTAGTCCATCAGCTTACTGCATGTTACCCCTGCTTTGGACAATTTTGATATTTTTACATAGTACTATTATTGATTTAAATTGAACATCCATAATTTAATTTGGGTGTTATTTCTATATTTGTCATAAAAAGTATTAGCGCAGTAGACATATGAACTTCGTTCTCCAAATCGAGACTTGTCATTTATTGAATCGGTCTACTGCACGTTACGCCTTGCCTCTGTTTGTTCACCCCCGTGTTCACCAGCCCAGCTAATGATTACGATAGCTTGAGATGTTATATTATGAACATGACGCTGCCAATCTCTGCTAAGAAGTAAAATGAGATTTTGGTCTTCTTTTAAAGTTAAAAATAAATTGAAAAAGCGTAAACCAAACAAGAAATCGAACCAATGGACATGTACAAAATTATCTAAAAATGCCAGATGAGCAGTTAGTTTATTCAAATTTTACTCAAGAAATGCATAGAATAGAAAAGAGCATAGATAAAATGTATTTAAGGGTCTTCTGCAAGTAACCGGGATTCTTGGATTTCATCTTCCTTTTTTCCCAGAACCAGTCTCATTGTTATCAATTATTAGGAGGCCCCATCGGGGGGCCTCCTATCAATTTTGTAGATATTATTATTATTATTATTTATTCTTCCTCCCTCTTTTTCTCCTACTTCCAACTACCTTTCAACTAGGTACTACATAGTCCTACTAGGGACCTGGGCTGAACTTGGCGGGAAAGGAATTTTTATCTAGGTCAAGGTCAAAATCTAGGTCAAATCTAAGTTTTTTTCAAGTTTCTCAAATCCTGACACTACACTTAAATATTTTTGGCTGAATTTTTGCACACAGATAGATATTAGTATTCTATTAGTCTTAGCCTTTTGCCGTCTAGAGAAATTTTGCCTAGATTTTGAGATATTGAAGGTCAAAAAAAGGTCAAAAAAGGTCTTTTTTCAACTTGCTTCAAATTGACCAAATTTTTTTTTAAAACTCATCTACAAGTTCTCAGGATTCCAAATCTGACCTTACTTTTGACCTTTGACCTTTGGTTGACCTTCAGTGACCTCCGAAAGGTAAAAAAAGTTGATTTTTCAAATCGATTTTCTGGATTCAAATTTAGGTATATTTATTCACAAAAGATCTTCTGAGGTCTAAAAAAGTAAAATTTGCAAGGTCAAAGGTCAAGGTCATCAAACGAAATCACAAACTGTGTTTTCTAAGTTTCTCAAAATTGGAGACTACAAATCAATTTTTTTTACTGAAAGTCAGAATATATATTCCTCTAAAGGTTCTACACATATTAGCAATTGACTATTTATTAAAATTTTGCTCCAGTTTTGAGATATTAGAACTCAAAAACTGAAAAAAGGTCAAATTTCAAAATTTTTCAAGGTCAAATTTCAACTTGCTCTAAATTGACCAAACTTTTTTTTAAAAAGCATCTACAAGATCTCAGGAACTCAAATCTGACCTTAGTTTTGAACAATGACCTTTAGTTGACCTTCAGTGACCTTCGAAAGGTCAAAAAAGTTAATTTTTCAAATTGATTTTCTGGATTCAAATTTAGGTTTCTTCAATCAGAAAAGATATACTGAGGTCTAAAAAAGTAAAACCTGTAAGGTCAAAGGTCAAGGTCATCAAACAAGATCACAAACTGTGTTTTCTAAGTTTCTCAAAGTTTGTGACTACAAATCAATATTTTTGAATTAAAGTCAGGATATATATTCCTCTAAAGGTTTTACACATAATAACAATTGATTATCTATTAAAATTCTGCACCAGTTTTGAGATATTGGACCTCAAAAACTGAAAAAGGTCTAATGTTGAAATTTTTTCAAGGTCAAATTTCACATTGCTTCAAATTGACCAAACTTTTTTTAAAAATCATCTACAAGATGCCTGGAGTTCATATATGTCCTTGTATTTAAGATTTGACCTTTGGCTGACCTTTAAATGTTCAAAAAAGCCTACGGGGCCTCCGTAAGATTGCTTGCAATCTTCTAGTTATTCCATCAATTACAAAATGTTAATTTTACTATTATGGCATTTCTGTAGTCTGTGATATTTGTCAATCTATAAAAGATACACAACAGTATAAGGATTTAAGCATATTTTTTATTGAACTATGAAATTGATCAGTTTATCGGTTTTATTAGTTTCACTAATCTAGAAATGACCTATCGGTGGGTTGTTGTTGATTATGTAATGCAATGCAGTTATTTGAAATAACGCGTTCTGATTGGCTGGAATTGGCCACACTCTACTTGCATAGTTATGTGTGAATTGTTCACAATGTATTTGGATAAATCCATGAGAATAAATTTAAAATTAGTCGATCTGTAGTCGCACCATTTCTGCATACCTTTCTGTTCCGCTCTGTAAATATAGGAGAAGGGCATATGATGAATGGGGATGCAGTCATAAACAAAACTGATTACTTCCAGAGCCAGCTTTACAAGGCAATACTGTAAAGGTAATTTGAGATACAGGTATGTAGGATCGTCACTTACGAGATTAATTTACAAATCGTCCGCCATATCAAGGCAACACCAACAATGTCGTCTGAATTTCAATTTATCTGTTAGCAAACTCCATATCACTTGCAATTGATGGAATTGTCAGATGGCTTAACAATATCCCTACAAAAGTCATTCGCTGACATGAGTATCTGTTTACTATTTGTGATAGTCATTAGACGGTACATTCAAACAATGAGACGGTTTCTGGGCACACTTGAATGTAGGAAGTTGAATTCGAAGAATCTTGATAGAATCCAGACGGCCCTTGACTGAATTATCCCAAAGTTCCTACTTATTCTATGCTTTTCTCTCTGAAATTTAAACGAACTACCAAAGTATCTGATGTAGTGACTTTTATAAGGCTTTTCCACATGCCCATCGATTATTTTTCTTGTTGGGTGCAAACTTTCTCAATTTATTTTAGATTTTAAATGAACACCAAAACTCATTTTCTCCTGAGGATGGACAGCATGTTTTCAATTAAACACCCTAAGAAATAACAATAATACAAGCTTGGCGAATGAACTATCATAACAGAGGCAAGGGTCTAGGCAAAAGACATGGCTTTATACTTCACGGCTGCTACTGTCATCTTAAGCATCAGCATACATGGATATAATGCTAAGTTCCCTGATGCGTACATTTCTGATTTCATCCCAGAGAACTACAAGGATGAATACATGGAGGTTGGTGGAAGGAATAAACGATCTGTTGTATTCTCGGGGGTAGAACCAGAGGGGGAAGAGGTACTGAATCGACTGAATAACATCATGAACAATGCGAGCATCAGTGCTGAGAGCAAGCAAAGACTGGAGGCTGCATTGAGCAGTATCGGCAAGGGACAGAGCAGCGGTGGAGGAGATGGCATTGTCCGTGGACGTAGTTTCGGCAAATCAGGAATAGCCGTTCATAGAGGGTGAATACGCATTATATTTCCTTGGAGATAAGTCTCATTTGCTTTATATCTCTTTAATATGACAGTCACCCAATATAAGTCAAGACATCAGACTATAATTAGGCTTTGTTGAAAAAGAGTTATTAATTTTGAAGTTTAAAAGTCTTAAGCTGTAAATTGTTTCAATCATTCTCTTTCATTTCAACCATTTCATGCATTTCGACCCCCGTTTTAAGCAGTTCGCCCGCCAGTGTATACACTCTTTTTCCAATTGAGGTGCTGAAGGATGTAGAAATTGTTTAAGAAATAGACACCGAATTCACAATTCTATTCACTTGGCACCCTTAGGAAAAATCAATAGTGAACTATTATTTCATGGATTATGGCGACGGCTTCACAAATTGATGTTGACCCTTAACCCGCCCATGGACTTTTGAGACCATGAGACTGGATTTTTATCCGACATTATTTGAGTCTGAATGCTCTATGTTGTATAAGTACATGTACTTGTATCTACAACTATTTTGATGCTATCAGCATTGGCTATCAATTTCTTCAACATGTATTGTTATGACTTCAGTATGAATGAAATGTCACTTAGTGTTCTGACTTGAGTGGTTCTTGAATGGTGGGGGAAAGGGGGTGTTAAACATACAGTAGCTTTTCACGTTAGATCGTGGCTTAGGGATATATGGGGTTTGCTTTTTTTCACGACTGGTATAAGGGCCCCACTAAGAGTTTGCTTTTTTTCTTGCTAGGTTCCATTGCAAATGCTGGTCCTTTTCCTTTGCCACTTCTTTAGCTTAAATATCTATAAATGAGAGGCATAGAGGTATGACTAAGTACTATATACAAGATTACTAAAAAGACGGAATCAAAAGTATCAACTTATATTGCAGATCAATAGGGGTGATGGACAAAAGGTTGTGGCCTGTTGATCTACGACCAATGACTACACCGCGTCCACAACTACATGCGACCCAATGTTGTTGTAAGGTTGCTGTCCCACCCCTGTCACGACTAACATCTCGCAGGGTTACAAGATCGCGGTCAGCATACAGACGAGTCCGGGCAGGGAGTAGAAGGTGTGGGTTTGCTGGATGGAGACGATGCACTCAATGGAGAAATCAACAATAGTGAGTATTTTGCAACATTGTTTTTTATTGTAACATTGGGGATGATAGAAAACACAATTTAGTTTATTTTATCAATCTTTACAATCGATGTATAATATCAATATTTTCAGAAAATAATCATTCTTACTTGTCCATATTAGTTACAACATGTTTGTGTTTTATTGTTTTGGGGATTTATTTTGAGGTGTTAGGCCAAATTAATTGAAATATTACTTGTAATTCGTTCTTTCCAAAGTCTTGCTTGACGCCTTTCTGACAACCCTTATCTCCCCCTTACCTACTTACAAGGTTTTGTATGCTAATATCAATTATTGAGGTATCTCCAATATTTCCACGTTTTCATTATGGTGTTTTTTCAGTCCAATATATTACCACCAGACCGTTTACACTGCCTATTATACACAAAGGCTTTGCCCCAAGGACAAAGAGGTCTGCTGTAGAGGTTTTGTACCATACAAACGCTGCTGTACAAGTAAGTACTTGATCTTTTCAAGAGCTTCATAATCATCTAGAACTGTTATACACCAAGTTCTTGTCCCAAGGACCAAGTGGTCTGCTGTAGATCTAGATGTTTTCTATCCTACAAATGATGCTATGCAAGTACGTAGACACTTTTCAGGAGCTTCATCCACCTTTTATACAAAAAAGGACTAAAAGGGGTCTGTTTTAGATGTTTTGTATTCTACAAACGCTGCTGTACAAGTAAGTAGACCTTTTCAAGAGCTTCATTTTATCTTTACGGTTTTGACTATAGGCAATTTTTGATAGGACTATGTGGTAAAACATTAAGATAGTGTTTTCCCTCTGTTTACCTAATATTGATGCCAAAAGATCATAAAGGCTATAGATCGACATCAAAACTATTAAATCTTCTGCAATCGTCAGTGGGTATTGATACAAACAATTGGGGATCAGGGTAAGTTTGTGTATATCAAAGACAGAGGGTGACATCTATGAATTGACAGAAAATCGATTTATGTTCAACCTGTAAAGTGCTGGGCAACATATCAGGCGAAGTAAAAATAGTTACAACAAAAAATGTTTTGGAAGGCGTAAAAAGCTTGATTTAGCCTTATTATATCATGTGATTGATGTACCAAATTATATTTTCAGATATTCGTGAAATGAAACGCCTGCTGGATTTATTTGAACATCAACGTGACCAGTTTGACAGCTTGCGAGAGTTTCTAATTGCCCAAGGGCACAATCCCGACGCTGGATGTCCAAAATCTTGTGGACCATAGATAGAGGACAAATGTAAATAAACAACGGGCATAGCAAATTATATTTTCATATATTCGTGAAATGATATTAAACGTCTGCTAGATTTATATGAACATCAACGTGACCAGTTTGACAGCTTGCGAGAGTCTCTAATTGCCCAAGGGCACAATCCCGATGCTGGATGTCCAAAATCTTGTGGACCATAGATGGATGACAGATGTATAAATTAACAAAGGGCAAAAGTGTGCTCCGAGAGTTCGTTGTCATGTGTTTGGTAATAAATACGCTCAATGAAATAAGGGACAGACTAAAATGTGCTTGCTTTTTGCCCTAATGTTGCACATTTACTACGCCACTCAAACATTGGATATAGAGATATAGTACAAAAGAATACATGAGTCGATTTAAATTTCACAGGATCTTTTAACTAAATGCTAACCATAGTGTATAATTTGAAAGAAAATATTAGCTCGTCCAGTAAATTCAGACCATCAATAAACACATTTTACATGAAGAAAAATACTAAAAAAGACAAAGCTATCAGGGGCTTAGCCAGCTTTCAGCCAGGGGGTGCGATCGCCAAAAAATCGGTTTTCAGTCAGGGGGTGCGAATTGTGGCACAAACAAGCCAAAAATAAGATTTATATTGAATTTTACAAAACTTGATGTAACTTCCTTCAAAATTGAGCTAGAAACTTCAAATAAAAAGCATTTTAAAGCTCTTTTCTACGTCTTTCTCATGATTTATTTTTATTGGTTATGCCCCCTGGCTACGCCTATGACCGGCTAAAATCATTTGTCTACGATACCTGGCGCCATGGTTCTTTTACTTCTTTACGATAACGCCGGTACTCCACTCGATTACGCCGGTTACCATAACGGACAGTTTCGGTGACAAAATGTCTGAACCTCGAAAGTACGATTTTACTTTTTTCCACGACATTTGTATCGCAAACGTGTGTCAGTATCATATATGTTTAAGAGAATGTACACGTTTGCCAACAAATAGTTCAGAAGACATAAACAGAACGGTTTAGAAGTGCAGATCTTAACCGTTTTTGAAATTCCGTTTACGTAACAAAAGCGAGGTATTAAATCGACGATTCTGTTGTCTGACTTCTGAACTATTTGTTCGCAAATGTGTATATTTTCTTAGACATATGATACTGACACACGTTTGTGATAAAAATGCTTTGGCAATTCTACCTACAATGCGTGAAATAAGGAAAAAATCGTACCTTGGAGGTTCCGACATTTTGTTACTTATATAATTTTCATTCTTATTGTACTCATGTATTCACCCACGTGATAAAATAACGAGATTTCAAACATTTGACATTTATTGCACTTCAAGACATAAGCATAGTTTTAAACCTCTGGCTACTCTTCGAGTCACTGACTAACTAATATATTTTTCTCATACTATACTCCTACCTTCGGGTAAATATTGGGCTCGGAATAAACCAATATCCTGAACCTCATTGGGGATCGGATATACTCCATATCAACGAAATGATTAGGTTTAGTGAACGACATCACAAGCATGTTTGAAGTGCTTATGATCAACACTGATATGCCAGTTTTACGTTAATTGAGATAAAATATAGTATCATTACTAGTGAGGCTGTCACTTCAGGACAGAGATAACAATACGATTTTATTTTTTGTTTCGTTTTGGTGTTAAGTACTTAGATCAAGTAAGACTGTCGATGAAAAACAACATGATACGCATATATTGATGATAATTTTTAGTGTTAAGTATAGCTTATTATGTCATCGCCACAAGTGGTGGCATATTGTTTTACTCTCCAACTTTTTTGCGGACGATGGTCGGCGTCTGTAGCAAATGGCAGGTGGTGACATTTTGCATGTTAATGCCTTGTTTGCTCCGTCCAATTGTAGCGTTTAACTATCCCTCGTATATTTTCTGTCCATTTGATGTTATGGTCATTTCACGGTTGTTATTCGTCGTAAAAACCAGATCGACACTTTGACGAGTACAGAACACTATAAATATAAATTAATAATCAACTGATGCAACTATACATGTAAGACTATTCGAAGTGTTTTTAAAGTGGCATTTTGTTATCATTAAAACAATTGAATTCTTAAAAATACATAATTCTTAAGTTGAAACCCTTATCATATGACATGATTGGCCATGAAATACTTTCTTTTTAACTAAAACATATTACGTTAACCGGCGATGTGTGTACTGTTTGTAACGGGACAGCAGATGACAGAACAAGTGTATCAGCAATATGTTCGACTCTCTCATTCCATTGGAACTCGTATTTACGACTATAATCGTTGGTTTTATTTCGTCGTGTTTAGCACTATATTGCACAACATTGGATGCAGTTCCATTTACGGGGCCGTTTCCACGACCAGCCATTAATGAGAGCAAACGACGAGGACACAAGGAGTGTAGATTAAATGAGAAGGACCAACGCGTTGCAGATTTTGTTAGGTTTATATCCGAAAAGGTTGACATAAGGAGAAAATACATACACAATGAATTAGTGAAACATACAGACTACATAGAAAACCTAGTTCAATCAATCTGTGGGAAGGTTTGTGAATTCAATAGAGCGTTTCGGATAAAAGAAATAGTACGACGGGGGAGCTTTTACGATCGCACGAAAATTGTTGAGCCGAACGAATACGATCTGATGGCCATTCTTTTAATATCGGACAGTAGTGCCATCGACGTATTTTTGAACGAAAACTGTCATTACAAAGATGAAGGATGGGGGTATGGGTTAATAAAGCTAGTGAAGTCGGATTTAACGCTCCCTATTCCAAAGGATTGTATGATTAAAACGTCCCATGCCGTACACGCTGCCGGAGAATCTTGGCAACTTAGCTACGTTATAATGTACAAACTTAGAGAGGCGGTAGAATGGGCATTAAAGGAAATGAAGGATGTTAAACTTTTGACGGGCAATGAATTTACATTTCATAAGGACGATCCCAAAAATCCGTATCAACTCGGGGATGTAAGCTTGCATTGGGATTTACATGGACCTAGCGTTTGGTTACGAGTGGGGGCACCTCTCTGCACCACTGATATCGATTTGTGTTTTTGTATCGAGCGTAAGAATCCAGTGAAAATTACTCGAAATATTCAAAATTATGAAGATAATACTAAACGCCCACAAATGGACACACAAATATCCACTGTCACGCATACGAAGTTGGGTAGATGCGCGATGATTCGGGGGGATACCTATCAATGCGACAAATGCATTGAAGATCATTGGGTGGAGTCCGTCATAGACCCCTTAAAGAACAAATGTGCATGGACAGATTCACATCGATCGCTTTTACTCACGTTCAAGATGATATCGGAGTTCATGAGGAAGCGATACAAGTATGTTGACTTTTTCCCTTCGTATTATCTGAAGGTATTGTTGGTTGAGCACGAAAATAAATGCAACGATGAAACAAACGTAGGGAAATGCTTTTATGATATCGTCAATAGATTTAAAGCGAATGATCTTGGACTTGAGGATTTAGAGACCATAGACGAGGTATTTGAAAATGAAGATGACGCCAATACAGATGAGTTTACGATTCAATTGGAAACCGGGAAATTTCCACGTGTAAAACCAATTCCAGACATGCATTATCCCAAAAGGAAAATATTTGGGAAACTTCACGGAGCTATAGCCCTCATTTGGTTTCTACAATATGTAAAACATACACCTAATACTGAATGGTGGGCGAAACTCACTGGGTCTGAATTTGGTGTCCAAGAAAATGAGCCATTTAAATCATTAACCGAAACATTCGAAAGGGTAAACACTTGGACAACATCTTTTCGTACTGGTGACTTGTATCTCCATAATGGTAGTAGACTAGAACTTAAATGGCAACACGATGATGGTACAGATACGTATGTGTGTGTTACCCAGTAAATACCATAGGCAAAGGCCGCCGATAGGAATTAATTTTTATATAAAGATGGCATGGTAATCGATCTGTGATTATTTATAAAAAGATATAAATACTGGATTCTGTTGGTGCTGCCATCTTTATATCGGCCCAGAAACTATATAGTAAATACCAATCCAAGCATTTAATGACGATGGTTAGGATGATGAAAAGTTGTCAAATGCCTTTGTCATCTGTACACAAAAATAAAATGTAACAAATAAAGTTTAAAAATGGCCTTTTACACCATAATCTATTTCACCATGTCTCTTTTAGCATACTCTTTTACCAGGTACTAGATATAGTATTACATAAATCTAATACTTAACACAGGTGTGATTAAAGACCGATGTCCTCTGACTTCATTGTCACCTTTTTATAATATAAGTAATGAACAATAAAGTGACAATGTATTTTCTTTAAATGAAAGTTATCATAAAAAAAATTTGATTTCCTGAAAATTGCTACATATAAATAGGCTTTAACACATGATCCAATAGAAACGTTACTAATATAAACAAGCAATTACGCATAGTCCATTCGATCAATTGAAGTTTCCATACGTTTCTAGGGGAGTGTAAACATCTTGAACCCCTGTACATGGTAGTGGGAGACTTGATACGTAAACATAAGTCGAAAGCAAACGTCAGACAGTTCAACTGATTTAAAGTTCGATCGCTATAAAGTGAATAATTAACCAAATACTCAAATGGGAATACCATGAATCAAATCGCGTTTGATTTGGATTTTAATTCTATTTTAAAATGTATTTTCGAAATTTATATCACTTGGAATACTGCTTCACAGAAATATACATAATTTGAACTATAAAACAATAACATTTTGGAACATATACTTAGGTTAATATATAGAGTAGATTGTTTTTTATCGATATCGCTTTTTGTCCATATTCAAAAATGATTATTCTTATCAATCCGGTTTTTAGTTAGTCATGGGATTGTCCATCGCTAAAACTAAATTCCTACTTGTTGTCATTGGGCAGAAGACTTGCCATTATGATGTGTTTGTTTATGATCTTATGGGGAAAGTTTACTTTTTTGTTGTAAAATGTGGTTTTGTTATTCCGATTGAGTTCACATATTTCATTCGAAGCATCCTTCGGGCGCAGAACCCCAGACAAACGTAATACTTTCTGTCTCTTATCAACAGAATACATTATACGCCGTTCCAATAGATTCCCAGTCCGTAGTCATATATTCCTCCTAAGAGGAAGCTGTTACTGTGTGCGATTTCTTGTATCGGAAGTCAACTAGCTTTAGTTTAAGGTTAGTTCAGTGTTCTTGAACTCAGCGATGTCCATAACTAACAAAGATTTCCTCAAACACTAAATGTCCATCCTATTGGGTCATCCAGATCGGTCTCCGGGTTAGTATTCTTAGCCGTGCCAATGCCTACCATGTCGACCTCATCGTAAGGATGTCCTTCATCATCGTCACTATCCAAATCGCGTCCAATAGGGACTTGCACGTCTTTGGGCGTTCTTCGATGACTGCCATTCACCGATGGACTTCTGTGGAAATACTTCCAGGCTATACCCACTATGAAGATGGCGGCCATGATAAATCCTGTGGTCACCGCAATCGGTAAGCCGATGTTGCCCATGGTCAATACCATTGTTACGATTATGTAGTCTTTTCTAAAATATCAACAAGACTATCAAAGTGGTATATTGTTCTTTAAATCGTTTGTTAACTGCGACAGCAATGTTAGTCAGTATCTTATATATTCTGTTGTTTGTATGATGCAACCGGTCAGTTGTTTCCCGTGGTGTGATTGTTTTGGGGCAAAGGTACGTTTTATTTATATCACAGAACTTGACATTGATTATCACCCGATTATAAATGATATTTGATTCGTCTAGACAAACTCTCAAAAAATTGGGTCAATGACGTCTGATGATTCATCTACCGTCATGGAATTCCCGAGTATGCAGAGTACTGGCGGATCAAGGGAGATACAGATTTGAAATGTGTCCTTACTACGTTGCCTTTAGGTAATCCAACAATTAAAATGTCAACTCCGTTTAAATATTATACAAATAGTGACTGCCATTGAGGGCAATAGTGTAAATTATTTCCCCGAGGGAATATCCTCTACAATGTACTATTCCCGAAGCCGCAGGCTGAGGGAATAGTACATTGTAGAGGATATTCCCAAGGGGAAATCATTTACACTATTGCTCGAAATTAGGCAGTCACTATTTGTTTTATTATATACCCTATACTGACTCTTGTCCCGTTTCCTCTGCGAAGGCCAAAAAGGCTTAGAAAGCCCCCGTCCCCGGGTCCATTGTTAGCATTATAAGCTGTGACGTTATCAGATGCTCAACAGAAATTTTTGCCTCTGAGACTCTCACTTGACAAATTCAATCGCGTTTAACACGCGGAATAGATTATCATAACACTTGAAATTACACAGACGTATTGAGCTTAGGGAACTTTATACACGTTGCTTATATTGTATCGTTCACGCACGTCTGTCATGGTGAACGGAGTTGATTTGTGTTTGTGCTCATCCTCCATTTTTCTGTTTTTCGTCTGCGCAGTGATGGTGCGCAGACGTTTCCAAGGGTAATAGAACTTGCAATTGTGACGTCAGCGGGCAATAGTTCAAATGTATATTCCCGCTGACGTCACATTTGAGGGAATATAACTTTCCGAGGGAAATAGTAAATCTATTTCGGAACACGTGACTAGGTATTGACCAATCAGGATTAGTGTTACATATTGGGTATATAATAACATTCAATGGTTTATATATTTGATACATGCATCTCTAATTTCAATAAAAACAAGGTTAATCGTCTTCTTAACATAGAGCCATACAGAGCACACACTATTCATGCTTCTAGAAATCAAGCGAATATGTCACATTTGTCCGTTTGACACTCAACTACGACTTTAAATGAAGTGAAATCACGAATATCAAGCTAGGTACAAAATGTGACCATCAGGCTGTAATTACAAGTGCAACCATTGGTTACATATACAGGGACCCGGATGCTGATACGACTATGGACGGCAATAACAGAATAAATGGTTATATTACTGAAGTGGAAAAAATTCCTTGCACTTATACAATAACAAAACACAATTTTATACATCACGTTTCGTGTATTTTTCTTGAACGTGTAATGTCATACATTAATCGTAATAGTTCATTACTACGGTGTGTCGTGTAAAAATGGACGAAATTCATGGACGGATTCAGAATTTATAAAAATATAAATTCATAAAAACTCAAAAGTGAGTCAATATACATAATTGATACATCTCTTCGAAATGGAAAAATATATGGACTATACATAATTTGCATGTGCATTTACAATATTTACAAAAGTACTTCTTGCACTACATTTTGCATTTTGAAAGTTTTGAGTACAGTTTACATATACAAATCATTGTAATGGTAAATTGAATCTATACATGTTTAAAAAATGTCAATACAATATGCAATAATTCTTAGTGATTGAGTATGAACAGTAAATGTTAAAGGGAGTGCTTTGTCCATGATAATATAGAACATAGCTAGTAGGTAACACTTGATGCAATTAAATGTTTACCATTCCTTTAATTAAACTGCATTTTAATAAACCCCGAAATAAAAGGCATAAAGAACATGTTTAAGTCATGATGTTGGCATATCATTTATAAGCGTAATCGAGGTGCAGGGTGCATTATATACACTAAACACGTCCAAGTATGTAAAACGATACACAATGTTTAGTCAATATTTCTCAAAGGAGGAATTTTAAACAAGCTATCAACATGCAAAATGTCACCACCTGTCATTTGTTATACACGTCGTAATATGTTACAGACGCCATGTTAAAGGCGGGGAACGCCGGACACAAAAAAGTTGGAGACTATTACAATATGTCTACACTTTTGGTTGTGACATGAAAACAAAAGTCAGACCTTTAAAACATTTTCATTGCTGGTCATGTGTAAGATATTTTAGAAAAATATAGACCAGGGGCTAACTCTGACAAATATTTTATTATTCAAACAAAAATACACTAGTACCCTATCAAAAACTTTTTTTGCAAAATCAATTCAAAAATTAACATTCACAAATTAGAAAAATTAGAAAAAAGCCTTACTGATAGATGGGTCTAGCAACAGAGTCTGGTGATTAAAAAATTAACATTCTTGGCTTGCCCACTGGTTTGTAATACCACGCTTTGTAAAATGGAACTTGTTCTGGATTCAAAGAATATCGAATAGCCTTTGAAACACTGTTCACCAGAACAGTTTTTGCTTGAGAATTTCTAACTTATTTAGTACAGTCATGGGTTTTCAACAGAATGGCAATATGACATTTCCTATTCAACTCAACATTTTGACTTTCATAACAATATTCCATGAAAAACCCATGCAAATTTTGCATTTGGCTAGGATAAACAAAATAGCCATGATGACAGTTTTCGTTAAATGTCCATAAATTCACAATATCATGACATGATCTGAGGGGAAAATAATACTGATCAGTCATCAAAGAAATCAAATTCGCCCAATTTATTCGCTCTAATGTTCGGGGCATTTGGTGAGGGTGTGTCTTCAAGGTCATAGCATCGCAACATTTGGTATTCACTAGGTCCTCCACGGTCTTGTCTCACTGGTTTCAGCTTCTCATGACGTAACCTGAAAAATAAATTTCTTCAAAATTTAGAGGGAGATATAGGATACATGTAGAACATGTTTTCAAAAAACAATGTGATATCATTCAATAGGATATATATATAAATACACTCATATCCTAATTCCATGCAGTTTTTAATTCCATATAATAGAAACTGCTTAGTGGAACCCATCTCAAGTGGAATGGGCAGCCTATTAACTCTATGTTAATAATGAACCTCTGTAAGTGGAACACATCTCAAGTGGAATGCGCAGCCTTTTGACTCAATGTTAATAATGAACCTCTGTAAATGGAACACCTTGCTAGTGGAACTCTTTCCCTGTAGTTCCAAGGGCCTTCCACTTACACAGGTTCTTCTGCATTTCTTAACTGATATGTCAATCAATTAAAAATACAACATACAGATAAAGATTAGAATTGGATGTATTATTAAGTTTTTGCTATCAAGGTCATGGCCAGACATGAAACATGGCGAGACAAGTGCTTCACTAACATCTTCAAAAATATTTTCAAATGACACTGGAAATGAAATGAAATTCACCTTACCAAATTCTAAGGACAAGAAATGGTTGTGACATCAAACATACAGAAGATTGTGATTTAAGCATACCTTTTTCCAGTGCCCTTATTGAATGGCTTCTCTTTCAGTTGATTTGCTATAGTGTCGTCATCTACATAGTACGTTTGTTTGGCTAGAAGCTGGATGGGGTCAGGTGTAATATTTTGCTGGAATCAGACAAACGATAGAGATGATTTTCATCATACAGTAAACATGTAACAGATCTGTAAGTGGAACACCTTCATAAGTGCAACACGCTTTTAGAGTCTTATGACCATACAACTTTAATGTTAAATGGAACACCTTCATAAGTGGAACACTCTTTTAGAGTCTTATGACCTATCAGTCTGTAATATTTCCAATCTATTCTTTAAAACCATTATCAAACATATTTCCTGAATGAGCATTTCCTAAGGTATGTTCAATCTACCTAAGCGATCTTAATCTTATCTACCTCATTTTCCTGTTTTGAATTTCTCCTAGAGTCTTCATGAATGACTTGATAAACATTCTTCTTTTCTGCTAGGACAGGATGGTCTGGTAGACTAAGTGGATCTTTCAGTACATCATAAGGGACATGGGGATCTTGGTAAGTCTTAGGATTGTAGATATCCCAATCATCAGGCTGTCCAAATGTTCCTGAAATATGAGTTAATGTTCAATAATTTAATCTCAGTCCCTGGGTACCCAATGAGTTAGATGATGTAGTTCATGAGATTTTTGTTGGAGATTTACAACAAGAGATTTAGCAACGGTTTTACCAAATGTTCCTGAAATATGAAATTACAAATTGATACCGTGATTAAACATATCTACCACAGGAAACTATGTTAAATGATTAAATATGACCCAGCAGGTTGTACGAGGGGTGATCAATAAGTAATGGACGCTTTTTTACACAGATGCTTTTTATTGACCAATCCCTTCGATTTTCTTACCAGTGATACATCATTCAATTATCTATCAACTCTGAAGATTTGAAGACAAAATATATAATACAGGTTGATATATCCTTATTTCTGTGAAGGAGGTATAGGTACCCCAGGACCGACATTTACGTCACATATTCTGAAGCTATTTTAGCTTGTTTAACATGCAATGCAGTTGAATGCAGGCTGTACAAAACAAACTATTATGCTCATGAATTACCCCATTTTGTTTTGCCATAGTTGATTTTGAATATTTTATCATCACTATGTGGTATTCATGCCACATTCATTCCACAGGGCCCTCTAAATACAGGGTTCGTACACCTTTTTCAAAATGAAATTCCCTGACATTTCCCTGACATTTCCAGACAAAAAAAGAAAATTCCAGATCTTGTTTAATGCCTGCACGGCCTCCTAAAAAGGCTCAAACAACTGTATTATTAAAAAGACGAGACTTGTGAAACATTTTGGGGTTCTCCTTTAGTATCATTTCTCATGACTTAACGTTACATCTACAGGCCATCTTATTCACCAATTTATATGCATAAGGCCAAAGGTAATCATACATGGATAGGGGTGTAACCAGAAAAGGTTAATGGGGTGCAATTTTTGGGGTTTGCATCACTGTGAGCGAAGGAAATGGGGGGGGGTACGGGGGTTCACCCCCAGAAAGTTTTTTTAAATTTACATTGTATAGATGCATTCAAAGCATTTCAAACTATAATTGATTAATGTTTTAGTCCAAATGGCAACTGACACTTAAAAATTTTGATTTAAAATCATACTAGAAAAATAAGAACTCCCCTGAGAGGCAATTCCCACCTAATGAAACATATTTTATCTAATACTGATCATTGTGAACATTATATAATAGCAATAACCTGGCATTACTTTTTTCTTCTCCCTTTTGGGAAAACTGCACCAAAACATGATACCATATTACAAATTCCTTCTCTAGTAGCATCACTATAAGGCAAGGCCAATGATACCAAACCAAATAATCGGTATTTGTGTTATCGGGAACCATTTTCTTTAAATTATCATAAATTTCATTAAAAATGGTGGCCATTTTGAATTCAAAGACCATTTTGAATATTTCTTCGTGAGCAGATGTCCTTTGTCCCTATGGCAGCCCCATATAACATTTGAGCAGAAGTAAAACTTTAGGTTCATCTTTACATGAAGAAAGGTTCTTCTTTCGATCCTGGGTTATTCCTTCCTCTTCCCATTAAATTTGGACCAAATCCAAAAACCATCAAAAATCTTTTTTTCATGAAAAATGACAAAGTGTATTCTTGAGCAGAGGCTCTACATAACCTTAGCATCTGTATATAAAATTTGAACAAAATCTGTGAACTGATATTTGAGTTATCGTCCTGTCAGATGGACAGATGAATAGACTGACAAACGACTGAACTGTCCAACAGACAGCTTCTCAATATAAATACAATTTTACACTGTAAAGAGTTCCCGGAATTTTTTGTTTTTCACCTCCCACCCTCCTAAGATAAACCCCTCAACAAAACATGAAACATATACCGGTAATTAACTTTGAATGGCCTGAGACTAGTGTACTACATGGAAAAGCATAACTGTATATTGAACCATTATTTCAATTTATGTTAGATTTTGGAATTCATTGATATCCTGTCATAGCTCTAAAATATTTTTGTTGGAACATTATTTTTTCAACACTGATACAAAATCCCCTGACATTTCCCTGACATATCTACAGTTTCAAAATTCCCTGACATTTTTGGCTCTTTTTGACCCAATTTTAAAATTCCCTGACATTTCCAGCACCTGGAAAAATAAATCAATTTCCCTGACATTTCCAGGTGTGTACGAACCCTGAAATAGGTTCCATAAAGTGCTACATGTACACAATTCCTCATCCTCTTAACTCAAGATTGTGAGACAAGGCTGAATCCATTCTCTGACATAGAAGCAAGATGCAGTTGCATGGGTTGTTTTATTTCATCAATGTCAATAAACCTGCATCCTTTCTCTATAGAAATAAGTAGTATAGAAATTAACAAGTCACATGTGAGCAGATCTGGACAATATGGTGCATTGGCCAAGGGCTCGATCTTGAGTTCCAGGGATATTGTTTTCTGAACATTTTGAGATCTGTGGGCAGGTGCATTTTCCATATGGAGTAGGGTGTTCCCTTTTCTCACCACCCCTTTCTTCCACAATGCTTTCTCAAATTGACCTGCAAACCCCTTCCATACAACACTCTGACATCACAATACTTTCTGTTTATGTGTTACCAGTCAGCAAAAAATTTCAAACAACACAACACTTGTTGCACATAAAAAGTTCCAATCTAACTGAAATTTACCAAACTGGCTAAAAACTGAATATGTGACGTAAATGTCGGTCCCGGGGTACCTGTACCTCCTTCACGGAAATAAGGATATATCAATAAGTATTATATATTTTGTCTTCAAATCTTCAGAATTGATAGATAATTGAATGATGTATCACTGGTAGGAAAATCAAAGGGATTGGTCTATAAAAAGAATCTGTGTAAAAAAGCGTCCATTACTTATTGATCACCCCTCGTAGGTGATTTAATGCATGATGGAGAAACATATCTTACCAACATATCTGCCATCATACGTCCAAAGTCTTACAGTGTGGTCAAGAGATGAACTTAAAAGCATACTGGAGTCTTCTATGAGATCTATACATGTAACATTCTCAATGTGGCCTCTCCACTCCTTTATCACTGGAACATACAGGAAGAGTGTTATTTTTTATAGGAAACACTAAAGTTGTTGCTTGACTTGAATATATGAATTCCCCATGCAAATATTAATTATGTTATCGATGAATATGATTTTTGAATAGTGAACTCACTAAGTAATTAGAAGATGCTACCTATAATATCTAATAAAGCATGCTTACGTGGAGGTGGGTTTGGCTCCTTCTCAGTGAGACAGTAGCCATCAATGTCCCACACTTTGATGAACCCAAGGTTGTCAGCAGTGAAGAGCCTGGTGTCATCCGAGTTGACCTTCATGGCCGTAACCATACATGACTTGTCTTTAGTGCAAGCCTGGAAATGAGGAATTATGATAAGTATAAAGGTTGAAGTGAAGAGCCTGGTGTCGTCTGAGTTGACCTTCATGGCAGTAACCATACATGACTTGTCTTTAGTGCAAGCCTGGAATTGAGAAGTTTGGCCCGCTATTTAACTATTGGAAAATCAAGTTGAACATGAATTTCAAATTTCAGCTGTTTTGTTATGGCGCGATGTTTTGAATCTAAACTGATGTACCACATGGCTTGCTCTTTTAACTGGCATACATCGCCACGTGGTATCTCAAATTACCAAACCAGACAAGTGGAGGAGACATCCCTGCATAACAGTTTCACATAATTTTGTGAAAATAGTATTTTCTTTCCATGCAAATGAGGAATTATGATTGACATAAAGATCGACTTCAGAGAAAATCAACAAGAAATAGATATGCAAAAGGATATCAGATTGCAACAATGTCTCATCACATCATCAGAGATCAATACAATAATCAGACAAGTCTTATTTTTTAATGCAAGTCTGCAAATGAATACACCTTAGACCATGGGTTTCAGAGTTTCAGTAGAGAGTAGCATGTTGTTATTAATCTTGTTATCAATGAAAGGCTAGAACTGATCCTAAGCTTACGATTTATTAAAACTATAACTGCTTGCATTGATGTAAAGAAATTTTATCTGAATTCTGAAAACATCGCCTGACTGAAAACAATAGCATACTTATCAATGTAACACACTGGAGAAACAAAGTAACACCAAAAATGTATAAAAACATTCATAAGTTCATAATATAGAAAACAAGATGAATGAAACAACAACATAAATGATACGAAATTAAGGTGGAGGTAGAGGTATGACAAGGCATTTACATGCAAAATGTCACAACCTGCCATTTGTTACAGATGCCTAATGCCGAAAGCGGTCACAAAAAAGTTGGAGACTATAACAATATGCCACCACTTATGGTGGCGACATAAAAAATGAAAGGCCTCTTAAGCTAGACCAAAGGCTTCTTTCTGAAACAGGATGCAATGTCTATGGATCCAGATGAAAAGCCACATAAAACGAAATAAAAGGCCCATAAAACAAGATGCAATACATAATAGAATAACATGCATCATATAAAATAAAACAACATGAAGGCAAGAAACAAGATAACAAACAGTCTATATATTGAACCGAATGCATCTAAATGTACCTGCACCAATAAGATAATACAAATTCACACATAGCTAGGCAAGGTGTGTCCAATTCCAGCCAATCTGAACAGAGTATTCACAGAATGAACAGTGTGTGAAATATCAATAATGCACTTGTTGTGTACAGTTTGTAAGCGATTGAGATTGAAATTGAGTTTTTGACCCCTGCAAAATGTTTCATTGAAAATATGTTCTTTTAGTGATTTTGTATCATATAGGTGATTTTATAGAAAATATTTTGCAATGTGTGAATTGAATTTAAGCCCAATACTCAATGCATTGTGGCTGCTTCATTCCACTCAGATGTTGTTTCCTAAGCTTTGCCTTCTCCCTATTCAGTTATGCAAAGATTTGGAAACAAAATCTTCGTAGAATTGTTCAGCACACAATGCACCGAATCCAAGGCTTAAATCCTTAAATACCTTAACAACATGCAATGCCTACAAAACAACATGCAGTATCTATAAAAACAAAATGCAAGCGCTACAAAACAACAAACCTCGTAATCAGGTTCCTCAATATAGATGGGAGAAGTCTTCAGAAATAAAATAAAAATGCATTTGTAAAAAGTTAGTAAGGTGTTCAACTTTAAGGTTCCTCTTACTAGATGGGAGAAGTCTTCAGAAAAAAAAATACATTTGGAAAGTTAGTTAGGTCACTGGTGATCCGCTCGATTACACTGGTTACCGAAATGATTCGTTTCGGTAACAAAATGTCGAAGGTATGATTTTTCCCTTTTCTGTATTTCACACATTGTAGGCAGAATCCCTATGACATTTTTCTCACAAACTTGTTTCAGTATCATATGTTTTAGAAAATGTACATGCTTGGGAAAAAATAGCTCAGAAGACAACAGAATCATTGATTTAATACCTCACTTAAGTTACGTAAACAGAATGGGTTAAAAGTGCAGATCATAAGTTCTTAACTGTTATTCGAAATTCTGTTTATGTAACTTAAAGTGAGGAATTAAATGGGCGATTCTGTTGTCTTCTGAACTGTTTGTTCACAAACATGTACATTTTCTTAAACATATGATACTGATACACGTTTGTGAGAAAAATGTTGTGAGAATTCTGCCTACAATTTGTGAAATAAGGAAAAGAGAAAAATCGTACCCCCGACATTCTGACATTTTGTTACCGAACCATTTCGGTAACCAGCGTAATCGAGTGGATCACCAGTGTAGGTGTTCAGCTTTCAAGTTCCTCTATATAAATGGGAAAAATCTTCAGAAATAAAATAAAAAAATGCAGTTGTAAAAAGTTAATAGTGTTTTACTTTAAGGTTCCTCTATATAAACGGGAGAAGTCTTCAGAAATAAAATTAAAAAAAAAGATGTACAGTGTATATGTTACAGAAAAGGGTCAGTTCAAAAACCAAGTCTTGACAACACCCCCACCTATTTCTCAACGAGAAAATGATGTATGAATATTCATGAATCTGATTACATTTAAATCCCATGTAAATGAATTTCCTTTGGTACCTCAAAATACTGTTCATTTTCTGATGTGTTTGAGCTGTAGAGGTTGATTTTACGTTAAGTTATTTGGTGATTGGATTTGAAAGAAACCGATATTGTATTGATCTGACCCTTACAAAACAAAACCTGTTGAAGAAACTTGAATAAGAAAACTTTATTTTCGTAACGAAATACGAATGAGGCAGTTAAACGTTCTTCAAGGATACTCGGATGAAAAAAGATGAGTGTATAAACTCCCGAGAACTCTTAATAATGAATAAATGGAAAACATCTATAAAGAAGTGTCAGGAATCATTCCCTTTTGCAATCCTCTGTCTATGGCAGAGACTATACCCCTCCCTCAAATGTAACCGATTGCATCTATGGGTGTCTTTTGGTGTAGATGAAATATTGACCTGGGGGTTATTAACAGGTACATGTACTTTGTAGAGTGCAGAATTCCTATTGTAGTAACCATGGATATAACGATGTCATAGTTACATGTGGAGAACAATGGACTAAAGAAATTCTTATCATTACAAAGTTTCTGTTTGCCCCCTGGTCTCTCAAATCATATCTCTCATTAAACATGTAGTTATATATCAAACTTACAGCTTGGAAGCAAGCCATTAGGCTTCCCCCATGGAAGACATTCCAGATGTGGATCTTGCCCCTTGGCCCACTGGATACCAGAGAGGCTGCTTCCTTATTCTGAGCTCTGGTCTTCAAGAACAGTAGGCTATTAACACTAAGGTCTCCCGCCCCTGGAAAATATATGACATTATCTTTATAATCCATAGAGTGGGGTAAGTTTACACTTATTAATCCTTCCCTGGAAAGTATATATAAGAATCATTATCTTCACTATTTCTATTTCTTTTCACGTTAAATCATGGTTTTGGGCTATATGGGGTCTGTTTTTCTTGACTGGTATGCACTTAGAGTTTGCTTTTTCTTGCTTAGTTCCATTACAACTTTTGGTCCTTTCCCTTTGGCACTTGTGCTTATATATTTGAAGGATCGAGAAGAAAAACGTGAACCCAGAACATTGCCCAAAGTTGTATAAATACAGACTGTACATGCTTGTTGAATAAATATTGCCATGGACAGTTATTTCAAATGGCATGCAATTTTCAAAAAGATAAAAAACTATTTAGGTTAACTCTATAAAATTGTCTTTAAATCTGTATGCTTAACTCTTGAAACTTACATGATGCTTTCCTTTCATTATTATTTTCAGCCGTTGTATCGGGTGGGTGCAAATGACAAAATATATGACCAGAGACTAGGTTCCACACAATAACTTCACCATCGTATGAAGATGTTGCGATTTTATTGGGCGGGCATTGAGCAATGGCAAGAATATCCTCTTTGTGGCCGTTATTTTCATCATCAGACCATCGAGGAAGAGGATTCTGTACATGGTGTATACTACCCTCGTCTCCGTCTGAATATATGTTTATACTGCGGTCCCAACCAACGGATACTATATACCTACAAGGTACAGAAAAAATATGAAATGAGGCATTAACATGCAAAATGTCAGCACTTGCCATTTGTTACAGGAACACCTGACACCATCACAAATAGTTGGAGACTATAACAATATGTCACTACTTGTGGTTGTGACATAAATACAATACATTTACCATTGACAATTTGAACTAAATTATTGTCAAGTAGTACAAAGTAAGAAGGTTTGAAGTAATTTTCAAAACAATTCAACGATCTTATTTCATTTGTATTGAATTTGTCACACAAAGGCCTTAATGTCTTCGTGTGTGATCATTTAATTACTTAAAATTAAACAATCTATAACTCATCATTAAAGACTTTGATACAAAACTAATTCTGTAAAAGGTACTGCAGAATTATGTACCATGTACTTACTACAAGTGTTTGTATTTATGTGGATGAAGGTTTGTATCATTATCTATTGATGGGGCATAGGGTTATATGGGTTCAGACTAAGAGATTTTCTTTAAAGAGTCTCTTTAAATATGTATATTCACTAGTGGTGCAACTCGCAAGAAAAATGCCACTCGAGTAGAAAGTGTGAAAATGCCACTGTAATCGAGTACCACTCGCAAAAATGAGGGAAAAATTTAAAAAAATAAAAACTCACCTAGTCGACTGTTTGAAGACCAAATAGATACAATTTCTTCGTTTCTTCTATATGTTATTGATGTTATATATAGTTTGTATCAATTTAGTGAGAATAAATGTAGTTATTCATGCCATAATTGTGTTTGTTTGTTTGTTTTTAAATATTTTCATTTTGTTTCCGGAATCGATACTTTGTTTCGTTCAGTGCATCCAAAAATGATCATTCCCGGGGTATGAGATCGTTGTTTGGGAATTCAATGCCTACTCGAGTTTGAAAAAACGTACTCGAGTAACTACCTTGGACAGGTTCAACGAGTGAGTGGCGAGTACTGGCATTCGAGTTGCACCACTAATATTCACCAACTTTTACATCAACTTACCTATTTTTATTCATCTCTACATACACAACATCACACACCTCTTCTGGCTCTGTGTCAGCTAAAATATCAAAAGAGCAACATTTAATTTATCATTCTGAATGAAAGACATGCAAATTCACCCCCAAAAGTTGGCAACTATGCTTCCCCATTGTATAGCCAGTTATAATGTTTTATGTTTAAAGAGCATATTACATAAATACACCATTGCTCATACATATGGAATATTTTCCAATTTACCATTAATTTCCCCATTTCCAATGCCCTCTCAAATTTTACTGAAAGGAGATTTTTCAAATATTTCATAGAACAGTCGGGAAAAATAAAATAAACACATTTTTTATTAGAAACATTTCAACCAGAAGGTAACTTCACTCGTTCCTTTAAAATAATTACAAATTCGGCTTACATTTTGTAAGAGTCCTCAGACATTGTCCATTATTGTAATTCCAGACCTTTAGGCAACCATCCCTACCCCCTGTGATCAGTCTTCTCCCTGTTCCATCAAAGTCCATACACGTGATGGCTTCTGTACCATGGGCCTCTCCGAAGTCAAACACAGGTCGACCACTTTCAAAGTCCCATAGTTTAATTGTCTGAAAACAAACCCATTTCAGTAACTACATGTTGTAGACTATTACAACATTTGAAGGTATCATAGATGGATCACCTTAAATATACACATGTTACTTGTCTAAAATAAAATCTTTTTGTATATTTACGATACAGGAAAAATTATATAACATTGATATCACTAAAAGGCCTTAGAGAACAACCAAATGATGGCTATCATATAAAAAACAATTTAGTCAAAAACTACCATTAATTTGATTCTTTCCAAAAATGTAACACTACTTCTTTATGAAATCTATAAATAACTAGAAGATGGCAACTCCACGGAGTAGCAAATCCCAACGAACACGAAATCATCAATCTGTACAGTCACAATGGAATATTTACCATCTACTCTTACCTTCAATAAATATTTTAAATCATTGTAGTATCATGTAACCATACTTTCAAGATAACTCTAAGTAATGGCGAATTTCTGCTCTAGTCAGCCATTTTGAATTTTCAGAGGCGCAAATCAGAAAAACAATGCCATAATTGTGATATACTCTGAAATTCCTTCAATTTGTGTATAAAATAGCCATACTTTTAAGAGATCAGAAAACAATTGCGAAATCCCGCATTAGGCGGCCATTTTGAATTTTTTGAGGCCCGAATCAGAAAAACGTTGCAATATTTGCAATCTACTCTAAATTGCCTTTCATTTGAGTATAATAAAGCTATACTTCAAAAACATCTCAAAATTAACGCAAATTCCTGTTTTCCCCGATCCCCCATTTACGGCCCCTGGGGGTCAGGGTGAAAAACCAGGGATATATGTGAAATAGATAGATGTTGTTAATATACTACCAAAATTTCAAATAATAATATTTATTATTTTGGTTTAAAATGAAGAACATAAGATTATTGCGAAAAATTCCCGCCATTTTTAAACTGGCGCCCATCTTGAAAAAATTTTTTTTGCGTAAAACTGTTCACCAATATACATCTTTCCACCAAATATGAAAAAAATCTGTCCACTAGTATTCGAGTTATCTTCCGGACAGACAGACGGACTGACTGACGGACTGACGGACTGACAGACTGACGGACTGACGGACAGAGGGCTTCACTATATCCCTACAGAACTTCGTTCGTTGGGATAATTAGATATCTGTTACTTACTGAGCCATCAGAGCAGGTTATGACTTGCTTGAACTGCACATTATATTTACAGGCATGTATGGGTTCCTTGTGGGTAATGACAATATCTGCATGGAGAACAGGCCTGAAACATGCATATTTGAAAATCAACATCATTTTTATTAATTGACATGTCTGTCCATTTGTTTGGGGCACTTGGCATAAGTTCTGAATAATATTACACTAGTCCAGAAAAGGAGGGGAAGTGGGATCGATCCCCATTAGAGTAGACTGACTCCTGAAAATTTTGATCCTGAAAATGATGCACTACTAATTTTTAAATTATGTGCATAGCTTTTATTTGTTGGCAGAAAGGAAATTGTTGTTTCCATCAATCTTGTAAAATGTTAAGCAATTGTTCAACAATATGTACACACAATATGTATTGCAATGTGTACAACAATACAATCTTACTTGAGTCTTAGATGTAAACAAGCCAGTTGGTCTGTTGATACACAGAGAGCTTTAGCTGCAGGGGAATAATGGCAGGATTGGAGGTCTCCCCTGATCTTGTGAGCTTTAGGTCTGACAGTCAGCAAAGCATTCTGGTCTGTCACATCCCATACCTAAAGAAGAAAGGGTGAATAATTGATGATAGAAATAATGTTGAATTGGATAAAAAGATGGCAGTGGAATCAAATATATGGCGATTTATAAGCAAATGAATAAACACTGCTGCCATCTTTATATCAACATAAAACCTATAATGGTATACTTTAAAAGAAAGTTTATAACACAACCTTTGCTCAATTCTGTGACTTCTGGCTCAGTTTTTGCAAAATGAGACATATTCAGCAAGGCTAAAAATCCAACTCTCCATTTTTTGTGAATAATGAAAAAGTTCGAATTTTCATTAATTCACATAAAATTTTAATATTAACTCGTAAAGTTACAGTATGCAACACTGTAAAAGGTGCTCTTGTGTACTTTTTAATATAACGTATTGTCAACTGTAACGTAAAAATATAAGATGAAAGAAGGTTTAGAATTTTCACATTTTTTGGACAAAAAACCATGTGACCCCCCTCTGGTTCTGGCTACTAATAGGAACATGACAGGACGGACCCCACTACAATTTAGAATGCACTAAGGCTTTTGAGTCAATATGACCTACCTTGATGACCTTATCTGTAGATATACTAAATATTCTCTCCTCTTCCTCTGCTATGAACAGGTGAAATATAGGAGCATTGTGTCCTCGTAGCATCATTATGGGTTTTGTTGGCACATATGGGTTCCAGATTCGCACTATTCTATCCATTCCTATAAAATACAGCAGATTTATGCATGATTGATGCTTTAAAAATGTTTTTTTCCAGGTTTTAGTCAGTTTTATGAACCTTTTGAATTAGTAGCCCTTTCAGCCATACTATTCATAATTGAAAAGTAATTTATAAAAATTAATACTTATATCCTAAAAAAGCTGTCTTGGTAAATAGAATATTTTCAGAATTGTTCAAAAGCCTTACCTCCAGTCACTAGAATATTTTTCTTCATTGAGTAATCAAAACTTTTAACTCCTTTATAGATTTTGAAGACCGTTTCATCTGCTTCTAGCCTTCGTTGAGTATTAGCATATATGTAAGCTGCTTTTTGTTTTACTTTGTCCTTTACTGCATTTGGGTCTTTAATCTCTTTTAGTTGAGCTTCAACATGAGTGCTACCTAGGGTACTACCTGAAAGCACATTTTAAACATTAGAAATGTTTTTTACGAACTCAGGTATGGGTTGAAGTTAAAATATAAAATATGCTATGGATTGGCTACATTACAAACTAGGAATAACATAATATCTGAAATGGGTATGAGCCAGTTTTGACATGGTTGGAACAAAAGGTGTTTCAAGTTCTTAAGTGTTGAGTGACACTCTTTTGTTTATGTTGGTGAAATTACTGATATTGGTACTGTAATTTGGACATGAAGCTCTTCAATGTTCGCTCTAGATATCTGAATATTCTATATATTGTGTAAAAAATGAATTCAACCATTCGCAAATGTATCTGGTTACTATAGCAACACAACAAAGGGTAGGTACTTGTACATATCTCTGGCAGTCTTACCTATGACTAAAGCCGTATTTGCATGATTTGAACATGAGATTACACCCCTGAGATCCTCATAGTATTTCAGCTGAAATAAATAATATAAAAGGCACATCATAACAAGTCATTTCTTGTTGAGAACATCAAAATGTTACATGTTTAATCGTGTTTAAATTATTTCCTCCTAGTTATTTCAATTCTTATCCATTATCTGTGCGAGTGGTCCATTCTTTTCAATGTATTTCAGAATTGCCTTTTAATTGTCACTTTCAAAGGCTAATCATTTAGTAATACAACTCCCTGTTACAATGAATCTGATTGGCTGATACATTCTAGCAAGAATTTGATTGATAAATACACTATAACCACTGAATTTGATTTGCTGATACACAACATCTAAAATCTGATTGGCTTACAGACACACTATGACTCAAATCTGAATGACTGACAAAGTTCATAATTGACAGTACTATGTACAATTGGTTACACATATTAAACCATCATACCTCTTGTATCCAGTCACCATGCACCTTCCACCTGACGAACCTAGTGTTGGGGCCTGCTGCTATGTTTTCTATGCTGGTACTTGCTATACCCTCAACCTTGGGCATTTTGTGCCAAATTCTAGAAGAATACATTGTGGCAATTACAGTGAAACAATTGAAAATTGTATGCTTTAAATGTTAACCTTAACAGAACTGTTGATCTTGAACTTTGGTTTCAACCAAAAGTATGTTCAAGGTTTAGAGTATCAGTGAAGAAACCTAGTAACCCTCTCCTAAAACCTAGTAACCCAAAACTATTCATAAATTAATATTCACCTCAGACATTCACCAGCAGACTGTATCACTACAATATTGATGCAACCCTGACTGTCGCCATATAAGACCATGCACTCATCATCTCCTAGGTATGTGTAGTCTAGCTTCAATGGAACTGTCTCAAGTCCACTGATCTGACAATAAGGATCAAATGAAGAGAGCTCGAAGAACTGGATTTCACGATCCCTGAAAAAGTGAGAATTAAAGTTATTTTTATTTCATTGAATTTCTGTGCTATGATATAGTTAATAAATGACAAATTGAATGATTTGCTCTTCTTGATACATAATAAGCCATTTAAGAGGAAAATAATTCCAGGAAAATAGTTCATTCGTTGGAATCTATTAGAGTTTTATAAACAAACAGTCAAGTTTCTTTTTATTACACATTTTTCATAAAATAATTTTCTAATTTCAAATACATGTATGTCATACAGTATTTCAATGTTATTTCAAGTTTTCAATATTATTTTGCAAGACAAATTTCATGATCGCCTCAAGGTTTATAACACAATGTAAAGCATCTTTGAGAAACGTTTCTTTTGGAACTAGATAATTTCTGTGTCACTTCCCAAAAAATGGCTACCAAATTGTAACCATACCTGTAATGTAACCGTATTGCAGATATAATTTTAAATCGCTTTAGATTAAAGAACATATCATACACACTGACCCTGTTCCAACAATGAATTTGTTGTATTGTGTCATCACAGTGAAGTCTGTTATCCATTTTGGCTTCTGTCTTGAACTCTGCTCTGCAGTCTACAAATTGAAATAACAAATTACTCTGCGCACGTTACGCTTTTCTGGGCATGGCAGTGTCAGAAATCATTGAATCATAAAATTCAAAATTATGAAGTAAAACGTTAACAAGACAGTAGAATATTTCACAAAAGGTCCTGGTAAATTGTGAATCATAACAGTTAATTTTGGGGAAAAAAAACTCAAAAGGCAAAACAGTATTAGTCGAGATATGCATCGGTAACACACATGCTTCGTTTTACTTTAATTTACAAATAAAGATACAGTCAAACCTGTATATCTAAACACCTCCCTGATCTGAACACGTTATCTTAGTTCCCATCTTCTTACAGCTCCCATTTACTCACACAGGCCCGTAGCCAGGGGGTGTTGGAGGGAACACCCCCCCCCTGGCCAAAATTTCTTTCAGAATTATGCAGTTTTTCACCAATCTGACTATTTTTTGAGTGATTTTTGGACAAATTTGCCAAAGTGAACCCCCTTAAAATTTTTGGGAAAAGTGAACCCCCCTTGGAAAATTCTGGCTATGGGCCTGTAACATATTCAGAGACCTAGAAATGTGAACACATGTTAATCTGGTTAAACACAGATTTGATTTTACTTACAACAACAGTTTTTGTCTTTCGGAGCTGCATATTGCTTGACCAGAAACTTGTTATACCATCTTGGCTACACACTATGAATGTAGCCCCATCGGAGCCTATCCTCAATACACTGTCTCTATGGGGTGTATTGACAACCTTTGCAGGAATATGAAATGCAACCTAGAAAATATAAAGGGAGAAACTATGAATTATGAGTAAATGAATATTTCCTTATTTGGACATTACTGGAATTTAAAAGGAAAATTCACTTTTTTAAAAATATCACAAAAAAGGCTTAAGTTCATCTTCGTTCACTCGGCTCCCGTCGGTCGATGAATGCAGTGAAGACCTGACCGTGCAAAGATGGCTAATGTTAGAAATCACAAAATAATATGAAATAAGATCAAATATGTTTGAGTGTTTACAAAAAGACATGAGAAGAAATGTTGGCTTCAGATTACATGTATACATAATGTAAAATTGAAACAGAAACTAAACAAGGCATTAACATGACAAAATGTCACCACCTTGTAAGTTATTGCAAATTATTACAGATGCCAAATTCCAAACAAGTATCACCAATCACCATCCACCATCCAAGTCCATCACATAAAAAACATACTTACTTCCTTAGATCTGAGATATGAATCTTCTTTCTCAGCATACTCCAGCTGCATATATGTACAAAACTCATCCCAAGTGATCTCCCCATCTGAACTGACATCAATTTTGTAGAACAGGGCATCTATTTGATTCTCCTGTAAAACAACAGTGAAATATTGATACATTGGAAATGAATACTGTATGTTATAATGTGACATAGTGTTAATCATTATAATAATATTAATATGTTGAATATGTAAGTGATTTTGTTATAATTTGAAACAGTGTTAATTGTTTGTTTTTTAGTTTTTCATTATTTAATGAATAACATTTCTACAAATTTTTGGTCGTGAAACCTAGACAGTGTTTCACATTTTTTAATGTGTTTCACATTTTATAATGTGTTTCACATTTTATAATGTGAAACAGTGTGGCAGGTTGAAGTTAAATCAAACAATTTATTCAAAATATAGTATCATTATTCAAGTCGTAATGTTATATCATTAAGTTTCCTCCACCACTCACTAGCACCAGGCAATATGCTGCTTTCCCTTTTATGCTCTTTGTGCTTTAATTCCAATTTCAAATCATTGAATTAAACCAAGCTGTCCCAATATAGCCATTAATACACCATTTATTATTTCAACAAATACACGAGTGACTCTCATTTGACTACATTTACCAGCAGCTCATTAAAGAATCTCAAGGAAAACAAAATGTTAGCCAAAGTCAAAAGAGTCATAAGAACTGTTTTTCAAATGAAGTAAAAATACAAGGAGAATCATGAGAATAAGAAAATAACCAAAATGAACTGAATAAGATCCAGTGACAAACTCACAAGGAACTTCTAATAAGATTATCAGATGTATGAGATGAGTAAAATTATTATATCAGTAGGAAGTAAGAACAGATGAATTCTGACAAAAGTTGTCATTATAAAGAACAAAAAGAAAAAAACAATTGAACTTTTGACCCAAATATGGCCAATATATACATTTTGAAATGAGCCTGAAGAAGCCAATATAAAACACAATAGCACAATCCGCGACTTTAAAAGTCAGAATCACAACCGTCACAACCAATATAGTTCACTGTACACTGTACTTTATACTAGTGTACCTAGACAAGTTACTTACTGTTACCCCTCCTTCCTGAATAAAAAGCATATCTAAAGTACTTTAGGATTGATCAAACAGTGATGTTTAAAATCTGCAAATGTGCACAATCTGTGTGATGTAGTGAAACCATCAATAATTGTGTTAAAGTTGTTCAAACAATACTTGTGCATTTACTATTTACTATTCATATTGGAAGCTAAACAAACAATGAAACAAACAAACAAACAACTTATGGTAAATCACAACTGTAGGTTGGACAATCAATCAAGATATTAGATAAATGATAAGATGGACAAACGACCAATGATAAATCACAATTGTTCACTGGGCAAACAACCAATGGTAAATCAAAGCTACAAGCTGGACAAACAAACAAATGGTAGATCACAAGCTGGACAAACAAACAAATGGTAGATCACTTACACGACAAACAAACAAATGGTAGAGTTACATTATAACAGGGGTTATTAAAAAATGGACTACGATTTACAATCATGTGTTACAACACTACAACAACAACATAGGTAACTATTATATTTTAGCTAAGAAATACAACATGGCTAAAAATTACAACTTGAGTAAGAACTACAACTTTGGTTATGATTATAATTTGGTTATTAAACTACCCCAGGGTTACTATTACAATTTGGGTTATAATTCAATTGAGGGTTACCATTGCAATTTGGGTTACAATTGTAATATGCGTTACAATTTTGGTTAAAATAACAACTTGGGTTACAATATAATATAAATAACAAATAATTCTAGCATTTCTACAAACAGTTGAATGTGTATAAAGTGTATGTGTAATTTTGTGTATAAAATACATATTTGTTATATATGTGTGATAATAAGTACTAAATGCGTAAGCTACAATACAGTGTAGGGTCAGACAAGTGAAATGATACCTCATCCTCATGGGTAATCTTACCTCCTGTGTTAATTGGGGGAAAACAAACAATCTTATATAATTACTATATAATTACAATTAGATCAAACAATTAACAGTCATTTTAAATACATTTCTGTTTGCAGGGTTCCAAACATGTTCTTCAATGTAGAAAATGTACTACACTTAATTCAGATTTTCGAATTCTTACAAACGAAACTATGTGTGGTTTTCTCTAGAAAAAGTCAAACCAAACTTTGCAACTTGTTTAGGAACCCTACATTCTGGAATATTGGTGGGGTTTTGTACACTCAATTAATGGGTGCACTAAAATTATGTTATGGGGTGCACTATGTAACATACCGGATATGGTAGTTTTTTCTGTGTATGGTAAAAATTCAAATATTAAAATCATTGTGTAAAAGATTGTTCTGTTCACATTAGAATTACATTGTGTCAACTAATTTGCATATTTAGTTGAGTCAACTTTTCAAATGTGCTTCAGTGCTCTGTTATTCACTTTAAATTATCACAGTTTTCTATACTTTAACTAGATATTATTTGAAATCAATCAACTCAAAATAAATTTTATGAAATTATAAAAATGTGCATTTCAATACATCACTTCTTTTATCAATCAGCAAAACATCAACATATTTATCGTAAATCAACTTACCTTTCCTCCAACTATGTTTAACTTTGTCTTAATGAGATCTTTGAATTCGTCCAGATCAAGCTGTCCTGAACCATCCTCATCTGCTTGTTCAAATGCAAGTTTCAGGTCTTCAAGAAGATCGATGTTGATCTTTTCTTCTATCTAAAAATCAAATAAAGATTTGAAATTATCAATTTTTAATGAGCACGTGTATTTGAGTATTCTGACTTGAGTAATGGGATGGATGTCCATGTATGAAAAGATCTCAAGGGCCTCTGGGAAGACCAGTTTTTTGTACTAATAGCTACCCAGAATAATTATAGTTTTCGAAAGAAATCAAACCAAGTCTTGATGCTTTTGTCAAAATAAATATCATGAACACATGAACAAGAATATCCTGATTTCTATAAATTAAAAAACTTCAGCTAATGATACCTATTGCCAGATGATTCATGAATAGGTAATTAATCCACAAATTGTAAGGCATTCTATACAGATGTATTATTTTCTGGCCAATCAAGAAAGGAAAACTGTAATAAGGGGAAATATTGATTTTGTGACTGAAAACCCATAAAGTAAGATCTGAATCTATGTAGGGCATAGTAATGACACAATTTTAAATGGTTTGTTTCTTTTCAAACTTTTGAATAACATTGCTATTGAAGATATTACAAAAAATTAAACACGGATAAATGAATAGATGATGCGATTTCATAAAATTGTTTATTCTATGCTAGCTTTAGTTCTCTGCTTAAGCCTCAATGAAACATTTGCATATAGCAAGAACATGTTCATAATAAATCTTTAAACAATAGACTAGATGCGAGTAGAAATAATCTTGATTTACATGACTTCGTGACTCTACGTGACTTTATGTGACTTCGGGGAGATTCCCCATAGACCCCATGTTACAAAATCACAAAAAGTGAAATATCTTTTCTTATATTGGACAGATAACATTTTCTTTTACTGGACATATTTTAATTTACATAACAATTAGATACATAAGGGTAATATGAAAATTGAACCACTAAAACAGATGAATTTTAAGTTAAAGGGAACATTCTACTATACCCGCCATGTTATCTGACCCGAACGAGCCACCTGGTGGTGAAACTGGTAACTCGCATCTGCTTTATTCATTGAGTTTTCAAATTCCTTAAACACCCATTAACTAGATTTAGTCTAAGTGAACTCCATAAACAACCTACCAAAGATGTATCATTTCTGATAAATCTGACTGATTCTATACTTGAGACACTCCTTCCAAAATATGATCTTGTCAATGTTTCATTCCTATCAAAGGAAAATAAATGTCCAGTTGTAGATACCGGAGTTCTTGTATTTTGCTCATTCACCCAAGATACCAAAGACATCTTGCGCTAATTTGCACTACTTTAAAGATGTAACATATTACAGCATAAAAATAAGTAAAATGTCGTTTCAGGCATGTGAAGATTCTTTATACTTCCGTAATTTTGATTTCAATCTTCAACGATATAATCCAGTTGTTGTCCACAATTTCTAATGCACATATTCATTTAATAGACCTCTTAATTATTTAACTGGTACAAACTAAAACATTTGTAATTTTCTCAGATCATTTCCGATAGATTTTTCCAATTCAACCTCACATTGATTATACGGTTTCTTGTAGTGAGTGAAATATTGCATCTTAGGTACCTATTTAATTCAAGTTTGTCTTGCATATCCTGTAATCATATCCATTTGATGAAAATAATACTTGCCATCCCTTTGATATTTAAATAGAAACAATTTTGATTCATTCTTTCACTTTCGACATATTATATACAGTAATTGAACATTTCCATTTCACTGATAATTGAAATGGTGTATTTGGGAATAACATTTCATGAATTAGAATTTTAACTTTTGGTTTTTATCATTTCTTTAGTTATCTTCTGTGTAGGACTGATTTATCTCTAGAATTCAGTTTCTATGGTAACAACATCATCATTCATTCTTCTTACTCTGTAGCTCCATCCTTTGATTCTGATGAAGGTTGAAACTGTCCCATGATGCCCTGAGAAAACATTCTTTGTTTTTATTAATAATTTTTCCTTCTTGTTCTTGAGCTAATAATATAGAAAAATATCCAACATTTAAACGGGAATTGCTAATTAGTTTTTACAATATTTTCACAAAATGTCCCGTGGGTAGAGGCATTTTACTTCACTGTTTACTTAACAAACAATAATAAAGATGTAAGATGCCAAAGTGGAAAATAGTGTACAATAAGGCATTAAAACGAACCACCTGCCATTTGTTACAGATAGCATACACCTAATGCAGAACTCTGAACATTAACCTCTGAAACTGTCACAAAATAGTTGGAGACCACAACAATATGTCACCACTTGTGGTGGTGACATGACAAAGATGAAAGTACATGTAGTGCCAAAGTGGAAACTTCTGACAAACAAAGACTGAAATAGCATATATACAGTGAGGAACAACTCTGGTTTGGTGTGAATTGTCTAGAATCAAATGATACATAAGATAAAAGTTAACAATTAGAACAAGTTAATTACTTTCAGATCTGGTTGCAATGGGAAGGCTCAAGGCTGTTTATTCTGAATTCTCTGATAAAATAGACCCTGAGGGACATGTATAATTGTAGTGCAAAATTAAAGTTTGACCCAACCTGGGTATGTGAATGTCATGATACACAAGTATTGATTGTACAATCATGATATGCAAGTATTCTAAAATCATCATATGCAACTATGCAAGTACAATCATGCTATCCAAGGATTGTGCAATAGTGAAATTAAAAAAAAGATTTACAAATAGCACCAATGCATGAAGTGATTAATGATTAGACAATTTTACATGAACGACCAATCAACCCTTGATAGACATATTGTTTTTTTTGGGACTCTGAAAAGAAAATACATCTAATTTGGCGTATGGAAACAGTCCTATCTGAGAGTGAAACACATTTTTTAGCATAAATGTTAGACCAAAATTATTTGTGTATCTTAATTTAGGACTTAATTGAGGATTTAATACTCGTAGAACAATGTTATCAAATAGGTGACCTTGGAGAATAATTCATATTTATCATATAGTTTTAAGACAATATTTTCTTTCTGACGTGTAATGAAGGTACATTTGTAAGTCAGGTTATGAGTAAAAGATCACTGTTATTCTCTGAAGAGGTCAATAGGAATGTAAACTATTATATACTTAAACTTACCGGCTTCCTATATTTTGTAATCCGTTTCGCAAAAACTGAGATATTAAGTAAGATCTTTACAGAGATCTTATTCATTTTGAAAAATATTAATCACCACAAAGTTTAAATGCAGCATTCAAATGATATGATCAATGTATATAGCCTATTTGCCATCAGCATTACATAATATCCTAAATTGGGGATTATATAGATCAAAATTAAGAGATTTATATTAAGTAATTAGCAGCATGTAATTACTGTTATTCATTGTACCGGCTGCACATAGGTGGCGTCTCATGTTGAAACTATTTGATCAATCAAATGACAAGAATTACATTTCTTCCCATGATTACTCATTAGAAAAAAATGATTATAAATTTTAAATTTTAGACAATTAAGTACAAGCAAAATGTCACCACCTGCCATTCATTACACATACCAAACTCAGAACACTGATTGACTACCATCGAGCCCCATCCACAAAACAAGTTAGAGACTTAAACAATATGGCACCACTTACCACAAATAAGTCAAACTATCCCCTTAAAATCACCTGAGTGACAGGGACTAAGAACATTTATGGATCAAAATTACATGAAATTCTTTTGAAGAAAACCAGATTCCAACTCTTATTTCGATAGAAGGAAATCAGTGTCTAATGAGACTGGGATCCGTACATAAATTAGTAAATTCAGGATCAGCAGAGAGGCAGGCAAGAATATAATGACCAAACTGCTACTGAGATATGGATTGATCCATTAAACTTCACTAAATTAGCATCTATTGACAGCTAGTTCTAGAGCAATTATTTTATTTAGTTTAAGTTCACATCTAAAGTATATCATCCTGTATGTACATTGTATATGCCATGTTTAGAGAGAGCCTACCAAATAATTAATAAGGAAAAATACCAGCAGTACCAGACAAAGGCCAGTGATCAATAGCACCCTTCTCTATTGATTTAGAATTACTTAGCAATGATAATACATGTTGCACTACATTAGCTATTGTACTGTTTGTTGTTTTGGGTCTTGGATGAAGAAAATTCAACCTTTTTCATAAGATATGCATTTTCTTTCAACTAATTTGATAATTAATCCAATTCAATCACCTCATTTGTTCCTCTAGTATCAACTCCATTAGGCCCATCTGTCGGTTCCAAACTCTCAAACTCGTTACCGAATGAGAAGAAGTTTATCTCGGAAACACTACCTGGTCCTGATTTTATTGGAATCTCAGTGAAGAACGCATCACTCCTAACTGGTCCTGCTGATTTGCTTGACATCTTTAATGATTTAATGTATAAAACAAGGTACTGTTTAAAATTATGTATGTCCAATTTATCTTATTTGTTTTTTGTGGTCCAATTCGGGTTTCTTTGAGTCTAGAATCCATTAATTGACTTGAACTATGCATATTTGCCTCATATTCATATATGTAGCAATGAGTCATTGCTTAATCATTCTACAGTTCACGCTTTTTAATTTCCATTTATATGATGATGTCCAGTATGATAATGTAATACATTAATTGTTCATAATTTTTCATAGCTTGATCATTTTATTAATATGTAAACACATAATGTATCACTATCCATTATACATATGTATGTCAATAAGATAAGTTTAAGTGTATCACACTTCAAATCAGGATCCTGTTATCTTTAATATTTAACTTCTGTGATAACAGCATTCAATATAATAGAGAACCTCATAATCCTTCCTCCATTTAAGACTCCAAAATCTCAGTCATTTTGTTACATTTTCCAAGAGATAAAAAAGTATCTCTAGTGAGCTGAGATATTTAAATCTCTCCAGTCCGATCAATTTTATACCACTCTCGTTGTTTCTTTATTCCTTTGGAAATTCCACAAGGAAAATATCCCGAGGGTCTAGTTGCCATAATACAATGAACTATCTCTACACACAAAAAGATGTGACAAAACGTCAATAAACACATGTAT